ATATCTATTTATTAAATTCCCGCGTGCTCCAGTATTTTTACTTTTTCGCTGTAACTTCTCTTAAAACTCGTCACGCGCTACATTACACGGGGAAATAAAACGATTTTAATTCCAATTCTACTCAAAATTGCTAACTTAATACAAAATCCGAAACAATATATTCGTTATTCTCTCCAGATCTCGGTGTCATATATTATTGTGTTCTCTTATTCATCTGTATTATAGCTCCTATGTACTGCTGAGATATTTTCTTATCTCGTGATCTATCTGGTGGAACAAGTGAGGTTTTCTGTTATTTGCAACAACAAAGATAACGCCCTGGTTTATTATTGCGAATTAAATCATGCTTAATCCTTTCTGGAATTTTTTCGAGGAAAAAGTGTTTAAGATTTGCTTCGTAATTTTTAATATAGATATTTTGAATTTTTTTGTATTTTTTGCTTTTATTGAAGTGAGAACTGAATTAATTGAATGAGAAATACTCAATCTACTGTGAAAAAAACTCTTTTTTTTTTTTTTTTGTTTTTTTTGTTTTGTTTGCTTAATTTCTTTTATATGTCGTTCTAGATTTATTATAGTATTTGAATAGAACATGTGGCAACGATTAGATAATTCTATTCTTTAAATGATATAAATTTTGTGTATTCTGAGTTATAATATGAACGAAATTTAACGCTGTTAAGCGAACCTAGCGCCAGAGTGTCGCTATGGTAACAAATGTAGTGAATTTTAAAGAGTGCATTTATTCCATTGTGGTTTATGCGCTATCGATGAGGTAGATTTAATTCAATCCAATACGTTTAAATGAAATGCAAGGAAAAATGGGTATAATTTAATATTCCGTACAAGGAACTCATGTAATGTACACATCAGACTTTCTTCATTGTACACGAGCGGACAAAAGGTCATCGTTCCTACTTTCAAATAATTTTTACAAAATGCGTAAGCCACATTTGGCGTTATTATTGCTTATAACAAATATGGCAAATTTCAGAACGCCCCAATATGTAAATTTACGTATATCTTAGGAAATTTTGAATAAAAAACTCTAATTTTTTGCAGGTATGCTTAGAAATACATCTACTTTAAGGCGATGCTTAAAATTTTATAGGCTATAATTTAAATTGTTTTTCAAAAAATTTATAAAAATTATTTTAAAATTGAAATTTAAAATAAATCATAAAAATGGCAAATCTTATTCGCAATGAACCTAAATTTCGAAATGTGAAAGGAAGAGTTAATAAGTTTAATAAAAAGAGAGTTATTAATATATATTATATATATCAGATATAAAAATATATATCAAATTCAATTAACATGGTGAAGCTAAAATTTTGAGAGCTAATTTTTTTAAAAAGTACTCCTGCGATTTTTACAAAACTTGGCACTTTAGCATAATTTAAATCGAATCAAAATATGGGAAAAATTTGCATGTTATTTCAGAAAAAGGCCAACTTTGTGTCGAAATACCTATGTTAGAACAATGCTATATATAAATCTAATTTATATCGTAAGTCGCGCTTTCGAGGCATGGAAAACGCATCGCTCCAGTAGAATGAGCTTTAAAACTGTACCCCCTTTTTTTTTTTTTTTTTTTTTTTTTTTTGTTTTGTTTTTTGTGCAAGGTATACCAATGTTAGGCAGTTTTATTTCTCACTGATAGCGCAACTGACTGTGAACGTAAATTTTATAGATTCTCGTTGATTAAAATAAAATTCAAAAGCAAAATTATAAAGCAGTTTTAATAGCATTTTCAACAAATACCAGGTGTTGAAAACCTTGTAACCTTGTAACCAGGTAACCTTGTAAGGTTTACCTTAAGTTTTCTAACAGTTAATTTTTAGTTAAAAGTTATTTTCCTATATTTCTATATATATTCTATATAGAGAGACAGAGAATATATATATGAAATTCTATATTATTTGTAATACTAAAATTCCATAGTCAAGAATAGTCTTAAAATTCTAACTGTATTTTTCTTTTCATTTTTTAATGGCGACGGTCTTATTTGAAAGTACGTGAATAAATCCACAGCCCCGTAGTCAAGTGTTTCCCCCCCTCCTTTTCTACACGTACAGTTATAGAATGTTCTGGAAATATTTAAAGCGAACTGGAATGGCTGACGAGGCTGACGTCATTTCTGGAAGCTCCGCCTTTCCAGAGGCTATAAAAGGACTCGCAAAGGAATATCGGGGTCTTTTGTTTAATGTAACAATGCAGTAAACCCTTAATACAAAAAGTTATTAGTAGTTCATTTTTATTTACTCCGGAGATCTTAATTTTTGTAACTGCTAATTTCTCCTGAAATATAATAAATGGATCCTGTTTTTTTTTAAATTATCGTCTGATAATTTAAGCTACGACTACATCTATGATTCTTCACCAATCTATTTATTCCGGACAAAAGCTGGTACATCATATACATATATAGAATTTCAGCTTACAACTTTCGGCCAGAACGTATTTTCAGAATCGCGTTTGAATGCAAATGAGGAGAAGAAGCATTTAACTGTGAAGTTCTACTGACTTCGCCAGAGAACTAGAGATTCTGACTAGCGCGCGTTCGCCTTTTAGGCTACTCTCTCTCTCTTAAGCTATTTTTACGCTCGGCCGTACTTGATAGCTTCGTCGTTAGTTAACGTTAAGGGGCCAACTCTGTTAGAATCTTGATAACTTCCGCTATATCGTTTTAGATAAAATTAGTTAAGTCTTATTTCTTAGTTTCCTGACTTCAAGCCCGAGTGGAGGTTTTATTGTAACTCCAAGCAGGAGTCGTCTGTTAAACTTTATTTGGAATAATAAACGGTATTTAACCCTTTTCGAGTTTCTGTTCTCTGTCTACTGAACTAAAGCGATTATTCGCTTACCTCTTCTTAAGCTTCCTCAAGTTTAGCTGTAGATTAAAGCACAGGAATCTTACAACCTTTAGCATGAAATCATTAAAACAGTTATGCAATTTAATAGCATTCAACAGGGAACAAGCGCAGATATCACATGCTTGAATATGCAACATCGTTATTCTGAAATTTCAATAGCATCTCAACAAACATTATACAGGGTGTTTAAGAAGTTCCGGACCCATTTTGATGCTTATTAACTCTAAAAATAATGAATATAGAAACAAACTTATGGCATTTATTGATGGAGTAACTTCTATATTTTCCTTTTCAAGTTTGAATATCTTTACTTTTGTAAATATCGTCTGCGCGTGTGGTTAATTTCAGTTAATTTCATTTTCCAGTCTAAATATCTGTACTTTTCTAATATTTGAGTTTCACTCATTGGGTTTATAAAGTATTTTTCCCGCTTTCCTGGTGTATGGTTCTGCACGCTGGGCCGGTATTCCAGAGGTCCATGATTCGATTCCCGACGAAGGCGATTGCATATTTCATCTATGCCTGCTCCAAAAAATATACCTAATATCTGTACAGTGGCGACCGAACTAAAAGGGTGATGGATGATGACTTTCCACACCCAGGATTTTGCGGTCTCCTAAAAAAAAAAAAAAAAAAAAAAAAAAAACTCCAGTCGCCCTTTAAAAGGGGGAGTATTTAAGGTATTTCTGCCGCCTTCCTAGCGTGCCTTCGTAGTATAATGGTTCTGCACGCTGGGCCGGTATTCAAGAGGTCCGTGGTTCGATTCCTGGCGAAGGTGGTTGCTAATTTTTCATCTTGTCTGCTTCCAAATATATGCCTAGTGTCTCTACAGGTTACTTTCTCCTTCCTTTATTTTTCTATTTTGGAAAAGAAAGTCAGATATGAAATCAGAAGTAATTTGCACATTAATATTTACAGAAGAATTTGGAACTACTTGATTCAAAATCTCAGTCAATATCTAACATGTTACAACTTATCATAAAATTTTGTTACAAATTGTCTCGTCATGTCATATGTGTTCAGATATTTTTGTTAATTTACAGAAAAAAAAAAAAAAAAAAAGATAAAGATCAATTAACTTAAATCAAAATTAATTAATTTTTTTCTTCATTAAATATCAAATGTATTCAAATTCTCCATGGTGACTCTCTATATGATTAAACTTGTTTGGCACCATGGGTTGTGATATTGTTGCATTGAATGTTTTCAACTCTATATTTGATTTACGTTCCAAATTTTATTTGCAAATTTAAATAAGGTCCCTATAAAACATTGCTGGAAATAATTCAGCATGAATCATGGCGTAATATTTATTAAAAATACCAGCTAGAATAATGATTTAGAAAATAACTTAAACTTCAGCTCATCTTAAAATGCAAACGTTATTATTTGCGAAGATAAATTTTGAAATTTCTCGCTCTAATGTAGAATTGAGTGCCCCTTCGATTAGCGACAACTCTTTTAAAATTTTGGCGATAAAACCTCACTTTTGGTTACCATGATAGTTTCAACTTTGTTTTACCTTCTTGATTTTATTTAAATGAAAATAGATTGATGTGTACATGGACAAATTTAAGGCAGTGCGCAATGCCTAGTTTGTGCAATTCTAGGATGTTTTTTTTTAATTGAAAACAGATCAAAGTCTACATGGACACAGAGTTTGTGCAGTTCTTTGACTTCTTATTTTGGTTTTGTGTAGCGGCCATGTTGAAATTGTGCCTTCCTGGGCCCGAACTTGACGTCAAAAAAGAATCGCCAAGAAACAAGGGGGACCCAATTGTAAACTTTTACCAAAAATTATAAAATTTAATATTTAGGAATAATTTCAGTCATAGAATCGAAATATGAAAAACAAATTGGTATGGTATTTCAGTAAAAGTCAGATTTTGTATTCAAATGCTTATGTTATAACAATTTTGCTATATATAAACCAAATATATATCCTAAGTCGCGCCTTCGATAAATGAAAAACGCAATTTGAATTTCGTCAATCGACCCAGTAGAACAGGAGATACAGAATTATCCTTTTTTTTTTCGCGCGGTGGACTTGACCATCTTCCCTGCTTTTACCATCTCGCCGGCTCACCAGATGGCGACAGGGGCACTTCGCTTTTCGGACTTTTTAAAAAGTTCGACGTCTGATTGCTTTCCATGTGATGTTTTGAGTACACTTTTGGATTTTCGCATAAAATTTACATTTTATGTGGCGCGTTGCGTTTATTTACTACCTACCGCCAAAAGCCACTTAGCATTCCAATGATAGGTAAAAGCTCTAAGTAGCTGTAGGCCTATGAAACCACCTAGGATTCACGATTCAATCGTGGATTATCACAATATTATTTGGAAGAAGCAAGTAAAATTTTTATATTTTCATTATTTAGTAGTCATAAATTTCTTTATGTATATAAAATTTTATGAATTTATTTGTCATATTTCAAGTTAAGGGCTATATTTCGAAATGTTAAGATTCGGCGTAAATTATTTTGCTTCTCGCTAGCCGAATTATTTATTAATTTAGTAGCCGTGTCACTCTTTTATTTATAATTTATTGCTTTAACAACAAGGAATAAATATCAATTAATTGTCCATTTCATGCTTTTGATACGGAAGTGTGTTTTAATGCGCAATTTTCGAGAAATAAAAATGATCTGATTGCAAAATGTCGTGAACGAATGCTAATGACAGCATTTAACAAAATAGGAGTATTTTGGCATTCATAACCTTGCATTTCATCTTGTTAATAGCATAAGATGGCAAATTAAAAAATTAAAAGCTACTAGTGTAGTATGCTTCTTATTTCTTTTAATACTGACAATATTTTTAACCAAATGTCTTAACATTTTATTTAATTTATTAATTTTGAAACACACTTATATTATGCAGAGAAAATGTAGCAAGAAATAGCTTAATATAAAAGAAAGGCAATATTGATATAGTTAAGAAAGCTGTATATTAAAAAATATATGTAGTGCCTTTGACAGGTTTGTCATATGTCCAGAAACAAAGCATGCAATTTTTATGTAGTTATGAAATTTAAATGTTTTTGGTCTGCCTGCTGTTTTTAGTATCTTTCCTTAAAATAATTAAATTTTTTTTTGTTGTTGCATTTAGTTTTATAAAATTTCTTTGATATATAATCTATAAATTTAACTCGAAGGCATTGTGTTGTTTAACAATAAGATTTTAACTGATAAAATACTGGTATGTTTTATCCTGAATTTTTTTAAAAAACTATGTAAAATATGTAAATCAGTTTTCTTTAATTTCCTTTTTGGTTTATAGAATTTAAATGATTTATCATAATTAAATAAATAGCTGAAGAAAGGAAATAAATTCAAGTAATAATTGCTTCCTGTTCACTTTTGGGTGCTGCATACTGTAGCTTCAGATGTATTAAATATAATTTTCCTAGTTAAAAACTTGATAATTATGCTGAAAATTAAAATTACATGAAAATGTTTATTTAAAAGTTAGTATTTTCATCCAAAGCATTTTAATTATTTGAATCATATTTTGATATACCTAGATTAATTGCAAATGTACAGAAATGCTTTATAAAATCAAGAAATTGCAGATATTTGCCTTGTAAAAATTTTTTAAAAATCTAATAATGTTGCATGAGATTCTAAAAATTTTCAGGAATATTTTATTTTAAGTGAATATTTTATCATTATTATCTTCACAATGGAGTAAAATCATATTGAAATGAATATTACTTTTGCATTGAAAATTCGTTTTATGAGCATCTACATAAATCGATCCTTTTTCAGAATGATAACAGTTCACAAGCAGTAACTTAAAATTTTCACATTCTTTTTAGAAAATATGGCCCCTGTTATCAAAACATCGCCAAAATTATCAACAAGTTTAAACTACTTGTATATAGTTTGTGGCTGGCATAATTATGTGACTGTTGTTAACAGGGCATGAAAAGGCAGTAAAAGTATATTTATGTGTAACCCCTTGGCGATTTTTGGCAGTACATGGATACTGAGTTTGTGCAATTCTTTGTCGTGTTATTTTGGCTTGTGTAGCAGCAAATTTTGTGCCGAAAATCGCAGCTACACAACCTATTTCAACATGAAATGAAACAAACTGTTTGTACAAATTCTTGCTGTAACAAAAATTTTTTTTGTCTAAGTGTAAATGGTAAAAATATATTTACAGGTACCCCTGGCAATTTTGGGAGGTACATGGATACCAAGTTTGTGCTATTCTTTGACTTGTTATTTTGGCTTGTGTAGTGGCAATTTTTGCACCAAAAATCACCGCTACGCAAAGCCAAAATAACAAGACAAAGAATTGTACAAACTCGGTATCCATGTACACATCAACCTATTTTCACATAAAAAAAATTAGAGAATTGCACAAACTTGCCACTGCACACTCCTTGACTTTATCCATGTACACATAGACCTATTTTCACTTAAAAACACATCAGAGAATTACACAAACTAGGCATTGCACACTCCCTTGACTTTGTCCAAGTACACATCGATCTGTATTCACTTAAAAAGTCAAAGGAACAGCCAACAAAAAAATATATAAACTGCATTTTAAATTAATAAAATAACATAAAAAAGGAAATTCATCTTTGCACTACACAAAGGAAATATCCACTCTCTTTATTTACGGATTAATATGTCTTCAGTCAAACAAAGTTTCTTAACAGAATCCAAAAACTTCCTAGAATTTCTGAAAAGATGTGCCTTTCTGTATTATCACTAGATGTTAATACATCATGTAGCTTGTACCTTCTAATAAATATCCTAAATTAAAATTCCCATCTTTTATCGAATGGGATATACAAACTACATGTTACTTTTCATAAATACTTCCTTTTTCTGTTACTACATGAGTATTAATGAAACTGTAGCTGAAGAAATTTTATGTACAAATTTTTGCTGTGACAAATCTGAATTTCTATTTCTCTAACTGTAATCCTTTAAATTTTCTTCATAGAAAATGAAGTGAAGAGAAAAAAGTGAAGAATGATATTAAGTGTCACTGTGAAATCGAACTTTATATGTTACTAGGTAATTTTCTTTTTCTGAATTACTCAATCTGAAATAATTTAAGTAACATTTATATCCTTTTGCTGATGTATTTTTATTTTTTAAAAATAGCTAATTTAGTAACATTTTAAGAAAGAATTGGAAAATTTTAGTTAAAGATGATGAAGGTAAATTCTAATCATTGAGCTGGAAAAAAAAAAATGAAAGATAGTCCTTTGTTTGTTATCACTACATGTTAATATATCATGTATATTGTAGCTGTCACTAATTGTTCTAAATTCAGCTTTAGTTCCAATCTTTTCTGGAGGAAGATGTGCATAGTAAATGTTAGTTTTCATAAATACTTCCCTTTTCTTGCATGAATATGATTAAATTGCGCCTGAAGAAATTTCTTTGGTACTATTCTGTTTTGAGGGCCGTTAAAAAAATTGCACCAAAAATGTATGTGCAAACGTGCCAAATCTAGCAAACGTGCCCATTTAACAGCACGCAAAATCTAGTGTATGCGCTGATTTCAGATTGTGTTATTTATGTAATTCTATATTTCTTAAGACGTCATTGAAATACTTGTTTAATTTTTAAATCCTTTTTTTGCTATCATCCTATGGATTTAACAATTTTGGGAATTGCCCATGACGAAAAGTCTGGCAATAGAATTTTGGGTAAAGTGGCAGAATCACCCACCGCTTGATGTGTTTTTAAGAATTGCACATACTCCGTATCCATGTGCACATCAACCTATTTTTACTTTTAAAGAAAATCCTAGAAATTGCACAAAAATGGCACTGCGCACAACCCTTGACTTATCTATGTACACATCGACCTATTTTCACTTAAAAAGTAAAAGAAAGACAAAAATCTAATTGTTTTTACCCTTGTAAAAAACGGCAAACAAATAAGTGGAGCGATTCTGCACTTTACCGAGAATTTTTTCAAAGAAAAGGCATCATTCATTATAGAAAATTACGTCTGAACAACCAATGAAATGAAATTATGCTTTAACGATAAGTTGGTAGTGAAATAGCGATGCAGGCATCCATTCAGTTATGTTTAGCAATTTTTATATAAATTAATTGATCTGAAATAGTATTTTTATATAAATTATATAATTTTAATATAATATAATGATCTGAAAAGTAATCTTAGCTTCCATTCAGTCATGTTTAGCCTTTTTCATATAAATTATAATAATAAAAAAGTATTATATGAAATTAAACTTTCATCTAAATTAAACATCAATCTTAGATAGTTATTTACTATTATACTTCCTTTCTTGCCGCAATTATTAGGGTTGTCGCAATTATTACGGCAGCATTCGCATCAATGAGAATTTGGCGATTTTTTACGGCCCTCGAAACAGAATAGTACCGAGAAAATCAACAAAACTCACTAATTGAAATTAGAGGAAGAGGGGAGGGATGCGATACCAGTCGGCCTGAGATGCTGACCGGTCGCGGAACTGAACAAAGGCAATAGGCACAATCTTTCCTGCTTGCTATGATGAATTTAGTGTGCTTGCAGTGAATTCAAACAAGCGAGATTACTCACAAAACTGCAACGAGCTAAAAGTCATTTTACCTGGATACTATTGGGTTGGAGGGAAAGTTCTGTCGTATTTTAAAGAAAATATTTGAATTCATTTATAAAAATATGTGTTTAATATTAATCAATTATATATGCTCCGTTATTTGTTACAACCTGTTGCCATCTTTCAGATAACCTGTAAATTCCTGTTTTGTAGAAGTTCTCGTCCTTGGAGTTAAAATAGTCAGCAACTGTCTTAGAAACACTTTCAAAAAACTTGAATTTTTTTCCTGTTAGATGATTTTGCAGAGATCTGAACAGGTAATAATCAGATAGTGCAATGTCAGGTGAATACGGTGCGTGACTAAGGACTTCCCATCCTAATGCATTCAGTTTTTGTTGTGTCACCATTGCAGTATGCAGTCGAGCATTATCGTGGTGGAACACTATTCCTTTTCTGGACACTAATGCTGGCCTTTTTTCTTTGATAGCTGCATTCAATTTATCCAGCTGATTTCAGTACAGATCCACGTTGATGTTTTTTCCCTGTTTCAGCAACTGTAATACACTGGACCTTTCCTGTCCCACCACAAACAAAGCAGTACTTTTCGTGATGGATACTTGGTTTTGGAACTGTTGCTGATGATGTTCCTGTTTGCAGTAAGATTTTTTTCTTTTAATATTCGCGAAAGAATCACTTTTCATCTCCAGTAACCAGCCTGTCCAAAAACAGCTCCACATTGTGTCTAATCAGATGTGATGAACATATTCTTACACGATCAGACAAATCTTTTCCATAAATTCATGTGGAACCCAAACACTTGCTTTAACACAAACCCAAGAGATTTAATGTGATCTCAACAGTTGTATGATGAATGACAACTCTTCTGCAATTTCTCGACTTGTTAAATGTGGATTATTTCCAACATGGATCGCAAACATCATATCGATCTTGGATGGTCGTCCAGATGGAACACTTTCTTGAGGCTCAGGTCCCCGGAACGAAATTCCTAAACCATCTTTGACAAGTACGAACATTTACAATGTCTTTTCCAAATACCGCACATAAATTCTTACATGCAACCGATGCATTGCTTCCATTTTGGAATTCATACAAAATGCAGTGTCGTAAATGCTCTTTATTTACTGACATGTTTTTCACTTAAAATATCACAAGTAAATGATGAACGGTAAGAAAGAACTCCTTTTTTATTATACAGCAGCTGAAAAATAAAAAAATTTTAAAAAAATAAATCCGAATGACTCACTAGGCCAGATGTTTTTTTTTTTATTATTTACAAGAAAAATCACCTGCCTATTTAAAATAGGACAGAACTTTCCCTCCAACCCGATATTTTAATTGAAAAATGTTTTGCAACAAGTATAATTTCAAACCTAAAAAACAACAAAATTTTTTTATAGAGTATGAAGTGAAGAGTGTTTGGGATGTATTAAATATCGTCCTGAAGTGGTAATGGATTTATTACAAAGTAATTTTCTCTTCTGCATTAGTCAATCTCATATAGCTTAAATAACATTAATATCCTGTTGCTGGTGTAGCTTTATATTTTTTAATCGCTAATTTGGTAAAAGTTTAGAAAGAAATGCAAAATTGACAAAGGTAGCTTTTAATCATTAAGCTAAAAAAATAAGTAAAAGGTATGCCTTTCTTTATTACCACTAGATGTTAATACATGTATAGAGAAATATGATGTCGTTCGGCGATAGCAGCACCCTCACCTGAAGTAGAAAAGTTTAGTTAGATGCTAAACAGGAATGGCACTAACCCATATCCTTTGATTAGATGTAGAATTTTCCATATTCCACTTATTAACTAATTAACTATATATAGTGTACAAATAAATATTTAACTTAACCTTGCTTTGAGTCAATCATAGATATAGATATGATGTTCTTCATGTAGAAAGATAGATCTTGGATACATTAGAATTTTTGACTTGAAATTACCCTTTCGCCTTAACATAACATAAATTGTGTCTTCCAATAATTATTCTAAATCAAAATTTCATTCTAGTCTTTTCTATAATGAGATATGAATATTGCCTTTCGCCTTAACATAATGGAAATTGTGCCTTCCAATAATTATTCTAAATCGAAATTTCATTCTAGTATTTTCTATAATGAGATATGCATACTGCTTGTTAGTTTTCATAAATATTTCCCTGCATGCATATTAATGAAACTGTGGCTAAAGAATTTTTTTTTTTTTTTAAAAAACCAAAGGGCTATTAATATCATTTTGGCATTTTGCATCGAATCACTAGAAATGGCATACCACTTTTCAAATTGTTGTCACCAAATGTTAAAGCCCTGCATTATATTTAAGGACATTAAATATAATGAAGAATCTGCATAAGTTTATGTATGTTTCTCACATTGTAATAAAACAAAGGTACGTAGAGCAAATTTTGAATAACATAATCTTCCGTACGAATATGGTGTAATATTTTGTTATTTATCAAATAACTATATTTATTGTTGAAGTGGCAATGCCATATTTGTATTATGTAACTGTTGCTCAGCAACGAAAGAAATTGTTTTATTAGAAATTGTCTGTTTTGTCAATTGCTGCCAAATACATTACAATGGGCATCTGGAAGCCCTAATTTGGAATTTGTTTTATTACCTATTTCATATTTTGTAAAACTTAATCAATTAAAAAAAAAAAAAAAACTCAAGGACTTCAAAGTGAGGAGTGGAAACATTGTAAGAAATAAAATATTTTTATCTTCAGCGCACAAGACTGTCTATCAGAAATTCTAAAGATATGCTCTTTGTAAATTATTTTGTGATAATGCTGTTGAATTGAATTTTATGGTTTAAGATATTTAATAAAAAAAAAGGTATTACACAAAACATTAAAAGAAAAACCCTTTGGACGTAATATAAAATCTGAAAACTTTCAGATTTTTTATTATTATTATTTTTTAACAAATTTTTGCTGTCACAAATGTGAATTTATGTTTCTTTAAATGTAATCATTTAAATTTTTTTCATAGACAATGAAGTGAAGAGTGGTTGGAATAAATTTTGTCGCCTTGAAGTCGCACTGGTTATGTTACTAGGTCATTTTCTTTTTCAGTATCTCATATAGCTTAAGTATTGCAATCTCATATAATTTAAGTAACATTAATATCCTGTTACTGTTTCAAAATCCTAGTTAAAGAGAACAAAGGTAAATCCTAATCATTCAGCTGAAAAAAGCTAGAACATAAGCCTTTATTTGTTATTGCTACATGCTAATATATCATGTAAATAATACTTTCCACTACTAGTACTAAATTCAGCTTTAATCCCAATCTTTTCTACATGTGTGTAGTTCATGTTAGTTTTCATAAATGGTTCCCATTTCTTCTTATTTTACACGAATATTAACTAAATTGTGGCTGAAGAAAGTTCTTTTTACAAATTTTTTTCTATCACAAATGTGAATTTTTTTTTAAAGTGTTGTCATATAAATATTTTTCATAGAGAAT